TAGGGGTGCATATATCTTTACACATTCATGTTTTCATGATCTTTGGATAAATACTCAGCAGTGAAATAGCTGAATCGTATGGCAGTTCTATTCTTAATTTTTTGAGGAATCACCATAGTATTTTCCATAGAGGCTGCACCAGTTTGCATTCCCACCAGCAGCATATGAGAATTCCCTTTTCTCCACATCCTCTCCAACACTTGTTATTTCTTGTCTTGTTAATTATAGCCATTCCAACAGGCATCAGGTGATATCTCATGGGAGTTTTGATTTGCATTGCCCTAATAATTAGTGATATTGAACATCTTTTCATGTGCCTGTTGGCAATCTGTATATCTTCTTTGGAAAAATGTCTGTTCAGATCTTTTCCCCATTTTTTAATTGGGTTGTTAGTTTTTTTTGTTGTTGAGATGTATGAGTTCTTTATATATTTTGGATATTAACCTCTTATCAGATATATGGTTTGCAATATCTTCTCCCAATTGTTGGGTTGTCTTTTTGTTTTGTTGATGGTTTCCTTTGCTGTGCAGAAGCTTTTTAGTTTGATGTAGTCCCATTTGTTTATTTTTTCTGTTGTTTCCCATGCCTGATAAGACATGGCATTTGAAAATATGCTGCTAAGACCAATGTCAAAGAGTGTACTGCCTAGTTTTCTTCTAGAAGCTTTATGGTTTCAGGTCTTACATTCAAGGCTTTAATCTATTTTGAGTTAACTTTTGTGTATGCTGTAAGATAATGGTCTACTTTCATTCTTTTGCATGTGGCTGTCCAGTTTTCCCAGCACCATTTCTTGAAGAGACTTTCCTTTCTCCATTGTATTTCTTGGCTCCCTTGTCGAAAATTAGCTGTCCATAGATGTGTGGGTTTATTTCTGGGCTCTTGATTTTGTTCCATTGATCTGTGTGTCTGTTTGTGTGCCAGTACCATCCTGTTTTGATTACTATAGCTTTGTGGTATATTTTGAAATCAGGGAGTGTGAACAAAACCTCCAGCTTTGTTCTTTTTTCTAAGGATTCCTTTGGCTATTCAGGGTCTTTTGTTGTCCCATATAAATTTTAGGATTCTTTGTTCTATTTCTGTGAAAAATGTGATACAAAATCAACATACAAAAATCAGTTGCATTTCTGTACACTAACAACGAAGTAGCAGAAAGAGAAATTAAGAATACAATCCCATTTACAATTGCAATAAAAAGAATAAAATACCTAGAAATAAATTTAACCAAAGAAGTGAAAGACTTGTGCACTGAAAACTATAAAATGTTGTTGAAAGAAATGAAGAAGACACAAAGGAATGTAAAGATATTCTGTGCTCTTGGATTCGAAGAATTAACATAGTTAA